AATTAAGACAAAATAAAATTTAAGACCTTGGGTCTGGGCATTTTTAAGACTTTTTTAAGTCTAAAATTTTGATTTTCAAATTTTTGACTTTTTAAGCCCCTGCGTGAACCTTGTAAGTCACAGGATGTGCAGTTTGACCACGCACAAAGACCGGTAACAGCTGAGCTGTAGCGCTCATTTTGAATCTGGTGAACTCCAAAAGTTCGTCAGCTGTGGACGTTCATTCGGTGATTAGTTTCTAAAAGTTGAACTAAAATCCATCTAGTTGATGAGATGTGTTGCTAACTGTGAGATGTGGAAAAGCACAGCCGCCTGTCGTGTTTGGCAGCAGGTCGATAACGACGTGGAGCTGATAAGCGCCTGATGTGTTTCTTTGAGGCGGACATCAGGACAGAGTTTAGGCTCCGGTTCTTACCGAGGTTGTGTGCTGAGACAGCGTGGAGGGCTGGACCAGATACGGCACCGTGATGACCATGAAGGACACGGTGGAGTTCAGGATGTAGGGATTGTTACGCCGCTTGGAGATAAAAACACAATTGAAATAAAAATTAAAAAAAGGAAAGTTTGACCAATTTAAGCTGACTTCCTCTGGATGTAAAAAAAAAACACAATAATTCAATAAATATCAGCGAATCCACTGACCTGTAGGAACGTGTGCGCCCACAGTCTCGATCGGATCCGAACGACGGCACTCTGACCCCGATCCAGCCGACCGACCACACACGTGATCTTCAGACAGGAGATGTTGGTGCAGTTCTGGAAAACAAAGACATCCAGCACCCATGAATCACTGACAAACATTCAGTTTAGGTTGTTTTCCTTTGAGAAACACGTGCGAGGCTCACCAGGGTCTTGGGGTTGGAACTCTCTGCGGTGCTGACAGATCGTTTGTGGCGATGAAGAGGAGGAGGAGGAGGGGGATCGCTGCTGTTCCTCAAGAAACCCAACAGCTCTGGTGTGTCCTGCAGAGAGGAGACCTGATACGAACAAGGAGATGAAATTATTTATTCATTTTGGTCTAGACTGAGTTCCATCTCCAGCAGGTAAGATACTAAATATTCGCAACCTCTCCACAGAACCACACTTCGATTTTGCAGTAACTTAAAATGCTAAATATTTTCTAAAAACATAAAAATATTGATGGATTTTATTGAAACTCTCAAAAAGTAATCATCAGATTTTCATCTAAATCTGATTCAAGATGGCCGCCATAGCCTAGCGATGTTAGCAAGCTAAAATTTTTCGTAGTAGTTTCTGAACAAAATATTCAACACTTGATTTGATGGCAAAACAAAACAAACAAAAAAACATAAAACATGACAACAACTCAGTGAGTTTTACTGATACTGAGCTAAGATTTGATGTGGAGTCATTGAAATCACACAATCCAGACACGATGTTACAGTCAAAGTTTGACCAAAGTGGTTTCATCATTTCTCAATATGAAAAATGATTCTAGTTTAAAACTTTGGCATGAAAGGCGGTGGGCTAGACATTTAATTTCAATACATGTTCAACAGAAGGTTTACAAGAACCGTCCATTATTTATTTAAAAAGACAGTTCCATTTAGTTAAACTACCTAAAACACGAGTGAGGTTATGTAAACAGAAACGAATAATCAATTAGAACCACAGTTACAGCATTGAAATATTTTTGAGACGTGATCGTCACATGTTTGTTCTAACCAGGATCTCTGCAGCACATGATGCAGCCTTGTCTGCCACCGATAAAAAACAAAAAAACCTCAGTATTTAAAGGGGACCTATTATGCAAAATTCACTTTTTAAAGTTTTTTTTTACTCAAGTTTGGTATGTACTTCTTAAAAAAACAGTCCTAGGAC